GGTTTGTGATCAGATTTTTCTAGAGCTTGGGTTTCAAAGTGTTCCATGTAGAGGTTTGCAATGACAGGTGAGAGGGGTGATCCCATGGGTGCTCCTTCTATTTGTTTGTATTTTTGTCCATTGTAGATGAAGTATGTGTTGGATAGGCAGTGGTTGGTCAGATCTAGGATGTGCTTGGGGGGGTTATATTTGTTTTGGAAGGAAGAAACAACTGCGATCACACACACTACTCCCAGAAGCACGAAGCTGAAGACACCAGCCTGAAGATGACGAATGTGACTTCGTCGAAACGTCGCCAAGACACTTCTAATTCTACGCGGGAGAAAACCCGAATAACTAAAGACCTACATACAAACACCCGCGAAAACCTCAGAAAACATACATACATACATACATACATACATACATATATATATATATATGTATGTATGAGTGCTTTTTGAACACCCTGTCAGCCTAAATATGGGAGAGAGAGAAGTCTTAATTCTTTGTTAGCATTCCAAATTTTGAAAAACATATATGATGTCGCAGTTAAGCGACTGCTGCCTGTGGATGGCTTTGGATTGAGCTGATGCAGGCAAAAGACTTCTCTCTCTCCCATATTTAGACTGACAGGGTGTTCAAAAAGCACTCATTCTCTTCCCCTGTCTCTTGTAGCTAACAAAGTGAGAAAGAGCCTGTGGCACAGGGGACTAATGCTTCTGCTTAACATGCAGACAGCCCAGGTTCGAATCTCGGAAGGGTATGTCTGACTGATGAAAACCAAACAAGGTTAGAAATAGCTATCTCAGTACTCCCTTAATTCTTTGTTAGCATTCCAAATTTTGAAAAACATATATATATGTATATCTGGAGAATCACAAACCGTGAGACCACCAGGAGATAAAAACTATAACAAGTTTATTTACAATTAAAACACCTAGCTTTCGCCGGCCTCCTGCCGGCTTCATCAGGGTGGCTAACCATCAGTGGGTGGCTGTTTTTATGGGAGTGGTGCCTTTTGCACCCGGCAAAAGGCACCACTCCCATAAAAACAGCCACCCACTGATGGTTAGCCACCCTGATGAAGCCGCAGGAGGCCGGCGAAAGCTAGGTGTTTTAATTGTAAATAAACTTGTTATAGTTTTTATCTCCTGGTGGTCTCACGGTTTGTGATTCTCCAGATATGAATTTACCCAGGAGTCAACCTCCAGTTTTTAAAATGTTTAGAATTTTAAATGACATATATGTATATGTATATGTATATGTATATGTATACATTCATTCAAAAAATAATGTGTATGTGTGTATTTCTTGAAGGGTCTTTATTCAAAAAATAATGTGTATGTACATTTCTTGAAGGGTCTTCTTTGGCAGAGTTTGTTTCAAAACATTTGTTGGGATAGTTAAAATCTCCCATCATTACAACTGCATGCCTCTTTGAAATATATGCAATTTGTTCTTGTAAGACATTAGCCACATCTTCTTTTGAGTAGAAAGGGTGACAATAAATACCGACAACATTATTTTTTATTTGTTGTTCAACTTATTTAACCCCAGAAATTCTTTGCATCATTGTCATATTCATTCATTTTGATTTCTGAACAGGAACTGATATTCTTAGCATACAACAGAATTTTGCTCCATTTTTCTAAGACTTTTGATCCTTTTGAACAAATTCCATCCTTTAACTGCTCTACACCAGAGCTGAAACTCACATTGTTTTTATCTTTAAATTCTGAACAATAGTGTATAGACAATGGAGGCCAGGAATTGTATGGGCCAATATTCTTTATGATTTTTCAGTGAATAGTTTAAGAGGCCCTATTTCAGCAACACTCCTTTTTTTATTTAGTAAAGAAGACTTTTTTTCCTGAGGGCCTTACTTCAGGGGGTCCATTTCTTTGTCCCACAGAATTCAGTTTGAAGTCTGTATAATCAAGCTTTCCATACTTTGATCAAACATAATGTTTGTGTGTGTGTGTGTGTGTGTGTGTGTGTATGAGTGTATGTGTGTGGAACCATATTTCCTCTTTTGATACCATATTGCTAGCCAGCCACTTATATGTAGTATTCTTATATCCCTTTCTGGTCTGATACAATAATGAGAGTATTACCTGAGTCATCAGAGCCTTGAGATTACTTCCAACATTTGATATTTTGTTATTCTTACCCTACTATTTGATTCCACATATTTCAGCAGAAAAAATAATTGTCAATTTGTCAATTTTTTATAATTTTAGTAGTTGTTCTGTCATATTCTTGATCATTTCAGAGCCTATGGATTCACTCAACACGTTTGTTTTAGTTCCTCGTAGAAGTGTATCACCAATTACAATGCCATTATTTGCTCTTTATCTTTTTATAGGGCACAGTTGCATCCTTTCTACCCTTTAGGGATCCATCATCCTGTCGCTAGCTCTGCTGATTTCTTTCTTTCCCTAAATTCTCTGAATTTGTTTTATCTGTAGAAGTCTGAAGCTGTTCCTATTTCAGTTTTTACGTGTCCTTGCTTCTAGCTGTTGCATTATCCATTGCATTTGGTCTTCTGTTTGTCTGTGTTACAGCCCTCTAAAGTAGATCAGACTAGAACATTTACAGTAGCAGAATCTTGCAAGTCTGAATGTGTTTCTCCTTCTCCCTCTTTTATCTTCATGTCACTTGGGGGTGGATGACATTCGATGTATTTTGATAAACCACTTTTCTGACCTGGGGTTAACCCATTTTTATCTGATCATTGCCTTGGTAATGAATATTCCTGTATGAATATTCCTCCCTCTATGTTCTCCAGAGAAGGGTTGTTTCAACTGAACAACTTAGTTATGTTTTTATTTGTGTTCTCTGCCCTGAATTCCCTTAGGTAGATGGGTGGCTATACAAATCAAATCAAATTTTAAAAATCTGCTTCTGTGGTAGAATTTCTTTCTTTGAACTGATAAATCTTCTTCCTTTCTCATCAGTTGAGACATTTCCTTTATTAGTCATATGTTCCACTAACCACACACTTATGCACTCTTCAGCAGTGGTACATATTGGTTAGAATTGACAATGAAGATATTGAAATGGTGAGTAGGTTCTGCCTTTTAAGATCAATCATCTACAGAAAAGGATCTAGCAGTCAAGAAATACACTACAGTCTACCACTCAGTTATGAACGCCTTGGAAAACTATATTCAAATGCTGGGTATATAATATCTGTGTCCACAAAGATCAGACTCATGCAAGCCATGGTATAGTGAAGTGGACTATGAGTTCTAAGATATGGAATGCCGGTAGTAGCACCTCAGGACAGTGACATATTAGGAAAGCTGGTCTAGTAAACACTATTAGCTTTTAATGAGGAACATAATTAGAAATCTTAGTAATATACTTAGCAATAGTAATAAAGTTGGAAGGGACCTTGGAGATTATCTAGTCCAACCCCCTGCTTGATAAAAAATCTTGCAGGGATCCAGACATAGCTATAGGCAATGGACACTCCCATAATACGTGCTATTTATTTATTAATGTGAATAAACTATGAAAAATAAAACAAATATAATTTATTATCAGTGGACATTTTATGTTTACATTACTGTATGAAGTAAAGCAAAATTGGGCCATTTTTTTTAAAGGGCTGTGCAGAGATCTGGCAAGTTGTTGTATTCTTGGCAAAGCAATGTTTCTATTGCTGTTTTTGGCATAACTGCTTTTCAAACCAGATTAATGGATTTATATATACTGTGTATGTGCACTTGTGCAATATCTGTTCTCTCTATCCAGGACTGAGTAAAAAGACATTCTCATTAATCTGCACCCTTGGTAACAAGGAATATCTGATTTTCTTGCTGCAAAAGGAAAGGCTGAGAAGAGGTAAGTTTTCCATTCCATTTACTGGGGGGGGGGGGAATCAGGCAATATGAACTTCAATAGTTTTGAGGCTATGCAAGCAAACCACAGCACACATTTTAGAAATATGTGCTCCAGTATGTGCACAAAATTAAAAGCTGTTACATAGACCCTATGCCAAATTTCTGTGTGTTCCTTCAGCAGATTATTTTTTTTTTAATTGGATGTGTGGAAAAATAGATGTCTTGATGAAAGATCTAAGCTCTGCCATCAGATGTTGTTCAGTTTCAATAAACTAATTTTCACATTTCATTTTTCCTTCTTTTTTGTAATGCAGTACTCATTTTGGGGAAACTGGAGAATGCAAGATTTTTAATAATACAGTGCAATATGGAATAAATAAAAATATTTTCAATTACAGATTATTTTCAGTGTACACTATGTTTTTCACATTTTGAATTTAAAATTTGTAACATTTAAACTTTTGAAAGCAATTTGAAATGTCTCAAGTGTGGAATATGTATAATTGCTAAGGTAAACAAGTCAAAACAAAAGCAGCCAGTGAAGTGGCCATTTTAATCAAGATTCTTTACCTAGGAATATCTCACTAAATGTACTGACTTTTTAATAGATGGGTAGAACATTCAACATGATTCTCACAATGCCACAGTAGAACTTATTTTGGGGTAATTATATTTGGAACTACTATGCAAAACACCATATGAAGGAAAACTACCAAATAATAGGAAATAATAATCTATTCTAATACTTGCAAGATGGAGAAAAGCAAAAAAAATAATAATACAGTATTTCCCTGAAAGCATTTCCTACAAAATGTTTTTCAAGTCTTCTGATTTTCTTCTTGGGGGATGAATTAAAAGTTGTGGTATTTTGTGAATCACTTGATTAATGTGTGAACCTTTTTTTTGAAAGAACAAAATCCTCAAGAAACATGTCACTGGCATTGCAAAATTAAAATATGAAGGAGTCTGACACACATCAATGGCTAGGTTTTTACCTACCACTGAGCATGATGTACATCATGAAAAAATATTTTTGTTAATCACAGCTTGTTTTTAATATTTACTTTAAAATGGAGTATTATGGATGAAACGTGAAGAAGCCACTTCACAAAACATGTTCTTTTCAGATATCGATGACTTTTAATTATTGCAAGTTACAGGAGTAAACGTGACTAAATATCATGAACAACAGCAGTTTAGCACACAGGACAACAGTGGGAACTTTTGGGTGGCAAGTATGAATATAAAATATTTGGCAAGGGGTGACGGGGTGGGGGTGGGGTAGGGAATTAAAGGCTGCAATAGATTGGACCATAACACAAAATGGATGGGCAAAGTACTCATAGAAGTAGAACCAGGAATTTCTTTTTATTTTCTCTTGGTTTATAAGATAGCTTGTTTCAAATGGTATATAAAATAAAGTTCCAACCTGTATCTGGAGAATGGTGAGCCCTTTCTCACTTAGCATCTTCAATCAGAACTTGGACAGTCATCTGTTGTGAATGTTTGAATTCAGGATTTTCTGCATCCAGATGAGGGTTGGACTAAATAGTCTTCAAGATTACTTCCAAGTCTGAGATTTGCAATATCAGCTTTATAACTTTTGTATCAGAAAATAAATGTTTTGGATAGGTAGAATTGACAGATTTATCCACATGATAGATATATCATAAAATATTGAAGTATTGGGAGGATATTACTTCCCTGCTAAAATGATTTAGACTAGGGATAGTCTAAACGTTTTCTTCTCAGAATGACCATTTGATTGTTGCAACACAAAACAAAACTTAGTTATTTCAAAAAGCGTTGCTTTCAACATCTGATTTTTCTGAATGTTGCAACTAGACAATTGTCCTATGGCTTGGCCTTTGAATTCATGGAATAAAGATAATGTTATAATATGTGTAGAGAACCAGGTTGGGGTAGTAGTTTAACACCAGGATACAAACCAGGAGATGGTTTGCCTTAGGTATGAAGCCAACTGGATGACTTTGGGCCAGTCATTCCCTTTCAGAGGTAAGAAGAAGCCAATAACAAAACATTTCTGAAAATCTTGCCAAGAAAACTTCAAGGACTTGTGACATCCATCATTTTACAATCTCAGGTCAAAATTCGTCTTTGGACCTTTATTCAGTCAGTATGCAACATTATCAAAGGTTTTAAGCTTCTGTTTAAAAAAAAGCAAAATTATCTTACCAGGCAAAGGATCCTGGTCTGCAAAAAATGCTGGTAATTCAACACAGATGTCCTCACTGGGTTTAAACCAATAATCAAAATTTAACCACATCTCTTGTTTGGTATCTGTATGCTTCATATGCAACATGTCCATATGCCAGGACTCCTTTAGTTGAGCATAGTCACTGGATATCTGAATCTTGTAAAGTGATCCAACATTTGTCAGTTCATCCTATTTATTTGGGGAAATAAAATCAAAATAGCACAATTAGAGCTTTAATTTACCTATAGTTTTATTTCAGGTCCCAATAATTTTAAGGTACTGCCTAGAATTTCCTTTAACTATATAAAAAAAAGAACTGTAGGGAAAAATAGCACTCCTTCAGACATTTAAAGTAGATATTAAATCGTGAAAAAATATTTCTATATTGATTCACATGGCTATTTTGTGAGCATTATATTAACTACATAAATTTAATATATTTAATTTGATAAACATTAGAAAATTAGTATTCTTTCTATAGAATATTTTAAAGCAATTGTGCAAGATATTCATATATATGCTGTTAAAATGTAAAGTTCACTTCAGCAAATGCATATCTGAGAGATATACACATATACACATATAAGGTTTAGGACCACCAGCAGCAACTCTCTGTTTTGTATATACAATGGCTATGTTTATTTTAGTTTAAATGCAAAATATTTCATACAAATCTAAACTACAGTACAGCTTGATTTTAATTTGTTTTAATTTATTAGAAAACTATGGAGTCATTGATTTATAATCTACCATTTATAGGCCTACAAACATTAATGTAAGCAAACTGTTTGCTACAATGGTTTTATGAGATGCTGTCTAAATGTAGCAACAGCAATAAGAATTCAAGGAAACTATTCACACGGTATGCATTGTACCTATATTTTATACCCATGCTATACATTTTTTAAAAAATAAATGAAGTAGATGAAACTTCATATCCACTAACCAACATTTTTTAATAGCTGTCAGAATTTTTTTAAAAATTGAGGGGCTTATTTCTCCTTCCTGCCATAGCATTCTTTTTCTAGCTTAGCACTTAGCAAGGATAGAGAATTAAAACAGGCTATTATTTTAATCTTTCACAATGCCCCTGAAGTTGTGTTGTTCTTGGGTGGATAGACAAAACTAATATTGTTCGGAGTGCCCCTTCCAATGCTGCAAAAGAAGATTTTACAGCAGAAGAAACCTGTACATCCAATAAAGCAATGAGCAGAACTTTGACTTTATGCCACTCTTGAGTTGTGAAAAAGAAGTGTGGCTTCATTGAAACTGTGTCACTATTATTTTTAATAACTCATCATTTCACATGCCAACATTTTTGAGGTCATCGCCTAAAAAAGATTATTTCTCAGAGGAATTACCTCCAAAGAAATAGTTACAGGATTTAATGTTAGTATATAGAGCAGTTTCAGTTTTTTAGACCATTATATTTCTCCTCTCTCGAGCCCCAGATGCAGAAGCAATACACCTATATCACGTATTATACATGAATTTTTTATCTATGACTGGTTTTTTGTTTCTCCTTAAAATAAAAAGCACATTACTTTGATTTGTGTTGTCTTTCCTAAAAGTTGCAATGCCAACTTTTTATGACCTTTATCTCCATAAAAGTTGAAAGTAAAATGCATTGGATCAGTTTCAGCATTTATGTCAGATCCAGTGATATCCATTATCCATAAACCTGATATCTGCTGATTAATTGGAGAATATCTTGAAGAAGAGAGCCTTCTTTTACCTTAACAGAAATTGAAGCAATAATAATAATAACAATTATTACTACATAATTCTTAAATTTCACTGATTTCAAAGAAGTATTCATGTTCTTAACTTGTTATCAGTAAGACTTAAACAAAGAGCTTCATTTTACCAGAATTATACAACAGTGGTGAGCTCTTTTTGCTATAACCATGACAACAATTCATGAATAATACTTCATCAATATAGATAAACAGTTATCCTTTAAAAATTTAACATGTAATCCTCATTTTATTAATCTCAAATCTCAGATTTAGAACTCTTAATATATGTCAGTTAGGTTTCACACTCTTTCCTAAAGATAATTATTAAGGAATAGACAGCATTCTTTAAATCAGCAGTCCAAATATATTGTTCTCATCCAAGTAAGCCATGTTCCTCAAACTGTACTGTATCATCTGCAAACAGTATTTAGTATAATAATAATGACAGATGGCACTAACAAATGGGTCCAATGAAATATACTTGCAATCAGGACATAAATAGGAACATGCTGTATGTGATACTATTCTTTAGAAAATTATGGCTGCTAACATTAACTTAAGGGAGGGAAAGCTCATTTGACACAATAGAAAAATAAAGTAGTATTTTAGATATTCCTATCATATCTCAAGACTTATCTCTCAAAACCTACAATCAAGATTGCTATCATATAATTTTCTGGATTTGCCAACTATTTAAAATCAATTGTTATTTATGAGCCTTGAAATAAATTATAGATATCAATATTTTCTGCATATTTAGCCAAATCAGAAGGCAAGATATCATCAACTTGATTAACTAATAAAAGGACCTACCTATGGTTTTAATCTCACAAACAGTGTCACAGATTCCCATATGTGTATCTAGCCAGTTCCAACATGGAAAGACCCATTCTGTGTCAGACTTTTCTGATTTCTTAATGGTTACCATTTTTAAGTATATTCCAGCACCATAGCCTTCTCCATCATGTCCTACAACTATCTTTTTTAAATGGCTCAAGGAGACTGCTTCTATTAAAAAGGAATCCACCTGTAAAAATGAAATTGAGTTACATGGAAAATGTGTACACCTCATAAAAATACCATGAATATAAATCTAGATATTGAATCTTCAATATCATTAAGTAATATTCAATGTTTAAACCCAGAGACTTTTGACAGAAATTTCATTTTGAAAATTAATGTAAACTGCAACTCCTCAAAGGGTTACTTATGCTGAATAGATCATTCCAACAAAATAAATTGCTGACACCTGAAAGATTGTAATTGTAGTACACATAGAAGAGCAAACATATTGTTTCATTACTAGAAGAAAAGCTATAGGAAGAGAGATGTGAATTGGAAGGAAAGTATAAAATAAGGCAGAAATTGGGAAATGATTACTCTGTGCAAAGTGGAAAAGAAAAAACCAAAATATGGATGGAAAGAAAGACAAAACAATTTAGTAAAGAATATATGTGAATGTGAAAATATATGTTTGCATGCATGAAATGAGTGTGTGGAATACAGTTCAATCAATTTTATAGAGATTGATGAGTTTTATGAATATTTACTGGTGCGCCAGTTAAGAATTTTAGGGATTGCAGTCTACTCAGTTTTGGAGGCATCAGGTTGGGAAGACAGATTAGTCTGACATCATCAAAGATAAATCTAGCAGTTGCCCTTTCTGATATAGTTAAGGGTAATCAACTATTACCCTTCCCTGTAATAGCCTGCAGAAGTTTGTGTTTCTTGATATATCTGTTATGGTGGTGCCTAAACAGTCTGTTCTTATTAGCAGATATATAGAAGCGGAGCATAGGACATATTAAGTTGTGTAGTTTCAGATGGATAGTATTTTGCCACAGGAGAAGAGAGGGGCTGATTTTGAACTGGCTAAGAGGTAGTGTGTCAAAAAAAGTACTGAGCAAGAGGAATTTTGGAGAGAGTTGATAGACATGTGCAACTCAAGAACTCAAGAAGTGTCTACGGAATATTAGTGTAACTTTTTGATTAAAACAAGCAACAAACAAAACTCAACGAGGTACTATGGGAATTGTTATGAAAGGATTGTTGTTAGTTCTAGGAGATCCCAGGGCAAGCCTCTTGAAGCAACTCAAGGAACTTTGAGCAGGAGGTTGATGGGAGGACCTGAAAGTTCAGGAAGAAAGAAAAACATCATTGGGGGATAAAACTCTTCACACAGACAGTTTTCACAGAAAACTGAAGAAAAAAGAGTGAGAAATCAACTGCCAGCCAGAGGAAGAGACTGACAGTTTAGGAGAGAATATGCCAGTCAGCATAATTATTCCTTTCCAATCTCTAAGTAGGAAGTAAGGGTAGCATTGTAGTAGCAACATTTGCATTTAGTTGACATGCTAGTCCACACATATAACAAGGCAAGTCTGCCAAAAAAGAAAAAAAAACTTTACATGTCTAGTAAAGAATGCTTTGTTTTGCAATGGTTTTTCATAGGGAAATAACTCAAATTTTTGAATCATTTTAAGTCTGTCATTTCCCTTTCTGACTCTCCGGGGAAGGGAGGCTGGAAGAGAGAGAATAGAGGACAGAAAATGGCTACCATTGCAAAGGAATGCTACTTAGAATTGAAAGAAAAGATTTATTTTGCTTTGCTAGGTTAATAACAGAAAAACTAATCTGAAGAGATGTTTTGAGTTCTATATGTTAGATCAATTAGATCAATTCATGTAAACTCATCAAAGCCACTCATTATAAGCTTTGGTTGCTTGGAGTGGTATTCAACATGGCTAACACAAAGTTGATTGCTTTGCTTTCCTTTGCCCTGTTTCATGATATTTTCTCCTTTGAAAATGATGCTTGATGGCTATGCAATACCCCTGCTGTGCTAAGCCCAGCCTATAACTAGAAGAAAGGAATATTTGCTCTTCCCCATATAACAAACTACCACGTAATTACATGAAAATAAGAGGCTAATACTTTATTCAAATATTTGTTAATATATTTTGATTATTATTATATAATATTTAAATAGCATAGGTGTTTTCTCCTTTACCTTGTTCCTTTGAAATTTTTCTCCTTCAATAAAGGAATCTTGAAGTTTCCGTACACCTGTATCTCCTCGTTCACCATAAACTGTTATATAAATGTTTGCAAAGGTTTCAGATCCCCAGAGATCCCCAGTGTGTACAGAGACCATATATTTATGCACTGCAAAAAGAAGTAATATTAAATGATCAGTGCTCATTGCACTGCATTGCTTTACTCTATAAACATACACAAACATAAAAACATATTTATTCAATGTGCCAACAAAATATGCTTTGTTCAACCAAAAAAAAAACCACAAAAGAAAATAGGGATCTTTAACTCAAATGTTGTATATAATTCAAATCACCAATTGGAATGGTAGCCAAATACTGTCATCCAAACAAGAGGGCTTACTTTAACTACATATAAGAAAATCATTGGTACCATATAAAATTGCTTCCATCCAACAAATGGATTGGGAGATCTGAAGTTAAGCAAATAATCCTACAGTCCCATTTTCCTCTAGCCAAAATATTACAGTGTCTATGGAGATTGCCAGTCATCCAGGTAATGGTTGTACCAAAGGTTCTTTTTTAGGAGGCAACTGGACTTTCTTGTTTGAAGAAAGAAGAAGAAGCTGAAGAAGCTTTTTGGATGGGAAGCAAAACATCTTCAAAGAAAAACAAGAAAGTCCAGTTGCCTCCTGAAAAAGCACCTTTAGGACAAAATATTACAGATTCTGTCTTTTTTTTTAATTAAAGTTTCCTAGGTGTTGGTATCTTTGAGACTGAGTGATTAATGAAACCCTGATTATGGTTTCTCTATGAAGTATCCCATATTGCACAGAGACACTTTTCTGTTCCAATTTACACCATATGGTTTAGGTATTGCTACCCTGGATATGTGCGGTACTGAGCTTTTCCCATTTCAGATAACCCAACATCTGGAGTTTCAAAACGCAACCGGACTTTGTTGGTTTTTTCCTTGAAATGTTTCACTTCTCATCATGAAGCTTCTTCAGTTCTGACTGAATGATGGGAAATGGAAGTATTTATATTCTTTGCAGGCTCTTGGAGGTTTATTTATACACTCAGGATCACCTGAATTAGAGTGCAAATGAGTGTTGAACCTTCTTGAGACTCCTGAAAGGACAGTAGATAGGTGATATTGTATTGTAGACAGGAAATAGGTGGCATGGTATCTCTCCCCCCTTGTTGAGAGAGGGCTGTTCAGAATAACAGAATAATGGAACTGAAAGGGACCTTGGAGGGCTTCTAGTCCAATCCTCTGCTCAAGCAGGAACCCTATACCAGAATGTTTGTCCAGAATGACCAAATTCCCAGATAGCCATATTCTGGTCAGAGAGGACCACTGGTGTGAAAGAGGGGTCAAAGATGCCATCTACATTAAAACTGAACAGCCTCTTTCAACAGAAGGGGAGGAATATGACACCATCTGTCTCCTGTTTACAACACAGTCCTTTCAGCAGTGCCAAGAAAGTTCCACACCCGTTTGCCCTCTGATTCAGGTAACCCTGAGGATACACATAAACCCTCAAGTGACCTCAACAACTCTCAGAGTGCTAACAACCAGATGACTGCAAAGAATATAAATCCTTTCATTCCCCACCATTCAGTCAGAATTGAAGAAGCTTCTTGAATGAATGAATGAAAAGCAAAACGTTTTCAAAGGGAAAAAAAACCCCAAGAAAGTCCAGTTGTCTTTTGAAAAGCATCCTTAGGACAACCATGACTTGGATGATTGATAATCTCCGTAGACATCTATCTCAGATTTTTTTAATAGTTCTCCATTTTAAGTCCACTATTTGCAGCAGCTACAGGGAATAATGATAACTTAAAAAGTGCAGGTTGATTCTACTGTCCAAAATATCTGGTAACATGTGAGAAGAAAACAGTTCACATACATCTTATTTATTCTTCTCCTGTATGATGAGTTAGAGAAAACCCTGGAGCAGATTTGTGGAGCAAATAAGAGAATCAAACCTTTGTATTATCTTAGCAGAAACTTTTTCTGCTAATAGAATCATATTATAATATTGTATATCAGAAGATACGAGCTTCTTCTAAATTTGAGGATTGTATTTTGGAGCTCATAAATACCTTCATATGGTTCTGCAATGAAGAAAAGGCACATGTATCTTAAAAAAATACTCAAATACTTCACAAAATGTTCAGTGTGAAAGCCTGGCAATAAATTCAACATAATTAGCAACCACCACCTGCTGCCCATGTTTCTCTGTAGTTCTCACTATTGAGGACATGGCAACACTATAAAAAAACCTATTCATAGTCCAGAACCAATCCAATGCTTTCACAACAGCACAGTGGTGCCAATATTAGATTGGATTATCTTCGCTATAATCATTTACTGTCTTACTAGCAAGATACTCATCAAAATCATCCCTGGTGGTTAAAAAAAATATTGGAATGCAGAGACAATGACCATGAGAGAACTTCCATAATGCATCTACCATGAACATGTTCGCACATATGTATTTAAAGCTTTTGTATAACAAACCTTGATGCCCTACATATATGTAAAGCTACAGGTCTCTAAACATTCAGCAAATACCAGGCATTGGTGGATAGAGATTATGATATTTTACTATAAAACATGTGATGTACCAATTGGCTATCCCTGCACATAAACTCAGCAACAAACTTGTAATGTCACCTACTCTACTTTATTTTAACTTTTATGGAAAGTTCAAAAAAGTGAAAAAATGTTAAGTTCTACTGTGGTTCCACTAATCCCAGCCTAGATATTGTTCATATATTGCCTCTCCACTAGAGTTTATATAGGACATTAACATAAGTAGATATGGGAGCTATTATTTGCCAGGTATTTTTTTTAGCTCTCTTGTATGCCACCCAGAGTCACAAATGGGGTAGCAAGGAAGGAGGAGGGGATTTCAGTGATTGGAAGTTTAAAAAAAAAGATGAGATACTTCTGTTCCTTTTTTGTTGGTGGTGCTGCTCCTTGTTGAAAACTGACCTTAATGTTCATAGATTAGAATAGCTGATACAATATATATTATGATTTTATTTTATATATTCATTTCACTAAATGCATTCTTATTTTCTATTACACACATAGACATGCATAGACATACACGTGTTTATAAAATAAAAAAATAAATCAGTGCATTTAATGAACTAATAAATGACTTATGAAGCATGCTGAAAAATAAATCAGTATTTTAAGTTCTGGAAATCAATCCAAACAATTAGAGCAATTGAAATATCAATATCAAAAGAATTCGATCAAGAATTTAAAAGTAATCAAAATGTGAACCAGAGGCTAAATCTAGTCCATGGTATTCCTACCTCTTCCCCTTTTTTTACCTGATAAAGTTTTCTGGTTTTCATTCACTGCAGGAAATTCCTTCACCATATCTTGGCTAACGGAGAACCAGCAGTTGCAGCCAAAGTTCACCTCTTGATTAGCATGTAGTTCTTTCATTTGCAAAGACTTCAAATGCCAGCCCTCAAAGTCTACCAAATCATCACAGTTGAGCCGAATCTTGTACACATCTCCAACATCTCCAGATTCAATCTGCAATTAAGGGAAATGAAAAAAACAGAGTACAAGAAAAAAAATCATAATTAAATGCAGAACTTTTTTTCAAGAAGCAGAAAAGCTATAATAGAGCATAACGTAGATGATCCATGTCCCATCACTTTGGATACATAGCATCTTCACTAAATTAAATTTATCATTGAGTTTGGAAATAGTGAAGACTTCCTAACTACAAATATCATTATTTATTGCATCTATATCCTGCATTTTTTCCAGGAGCTCACGATGACATGTATAATAGTCTGCTTCCCCCAAAAAATTTCAAAATGAGGATAGGATATCTGCCTATGCCACAGACAAAAGATATATTTTCTCTGGCCTCTCTCAGAATCTCATTTTTCTGCAGATATTTTTATATTGATTCATACCATTTCTTTAGTACCTTTAGAAGTTGTTTTTAAATGATTGTGCTAAAATATCTGTATTTTTACTATAATTTCCCACATTTTTACAAGCAATTTTCTCTAAGATATTTTATATTGTTTTTTTCTAATTCACTTCTTTTTGTGTGTGTATGTAAAATTGCAAAATTTGGAAGGTTACCTATTTTGAAGATATGAGAGATTCAATTTGTACATTGGCTTAACATATAAAATTAGATCAATAAATTTAAGATTGCATTAAATTGTCAATCAAATTAATCACTTATCCATCCCTACATATTGCATGAATAGGAGTAATCCTATTCAGTTTAACAAAGTTTAGGTTACTCAAAGCAGTTGTGCTTTTTTAAAATGTTCAGCTTAATTAAGTTTATATCTTTAAAATTATATTTCCTTTTTATTGTAACAGATATATGTCCTTATGTATTATTGCTGTTTAGATACTAGATCAGGCGTATCAAACTGTCAGCCCACGGGCCAGATACATCACACCAAAACCATGCCCACCCCATTGTCGGCAATGGGGGAAAAGTCGCAATATGTCACGCAACATCACAGTGACTTCACAAGTTTGACATGCCTGTACTAGACCAAAAGGCTCTGTTTTGACCTGTTGTGACCTTGTTACTTCAATCATGAATGTCACTTTGTTGTTGCTGTTGCCTTGAATGGTTAAAATGTCAAGAAAATCAATGCAATGTCTTTTGCTCTTCATTTTCACTTTACATAGTCGGACAAAGAACTGATAGAGAATAATGCAGAAATTAGATGTGGATAGGAATAGGAAAAATACACTTTCTAATTACTATCCTATCCTTGTCAATAGCATGGACTATGCAGGAAAAAAAATCCAATTTCCTTGCTGTTATACTGTATCATTACTGAAAAGAGACCCACTGTGTCCTATTTTTTTTAACCTATGAAATGGAATCATACAATGTGCCTTTGATTTTATGAGAGAGAGGTTATGTGGTGGAAACTATCTCCTAAGATAGCTTGTGGTCTGCATGCTTATAATTTTCATCTCTTCACTTAAAATGATTGAGAAAAAAAACCTTACAGGAGGAAGATCCACAAGTTCACAACTAAATAGAAGAACCTCCTAAAAAAAATCATGCAGGATTAATATAAAATTATAAATTCATAGAGTTGTCAGATGTCATTGAGAACATTGAATAAAATTATCTATTTAGGGCAATAATCCAACAGTAACATTTCACATTGTGTAGCTTCCCCTTAAATACATCCAGCAGTAGAAAGCCCACTACTGGCAAACTGCTCTTACAGGTTATGCAGTTTTTCTAACAGTCAGAATCCATCATTTTGTTTAAAATTTTTAATATAGAAAATTAATATAGCCACCCTGTATTCTGGACTAAGAAGTTGAGCTTCCATTTGATATTCTTTCAGGTATTTGAAAGTGTTAACATATTCTCTGTTGTCTTTCTTTAATGCTACACCTTAAATAGCTTGTTAACAGAATGTCAGCTGTACTTTTTCAAATACTTTGTTGAAACCAACCCTGTATATGTCTATAATACTCCCACACTCTTTCAAAAAAATGTACCTAATCAAAAACATAAATATGTTTAACCAGACAAGATTTGTTGTTGACAAAAGAATGCTGAATTCTGGTAATTATAGTTTTCAGGATGCTTACAGGTTTACCTCTTTATGGCCTGCTCTAGAAACATCATTTGTTGATGTTAGATTGACTAGTTTTTGTTCTTTGGATCCTCTTTTTTTCCTTTTATGAAGATAGGCTCTCTTATTGTTGTTTGGCACTTCATTGTTCTCCAAGGTTTTTCAAAGGAAATTTATTTATTTATTTCCCATCTTCATTATTTTTACAAACATCTCAAGGCAGCAAACTTAGCCAACACACCTTCCTCCTCCTATTTTCCCAACAACAACCCTGTTAGGTGGCTTTGGCTAAGAGAGAATATGGCTGTCATTCAAAGTCATCCAGCTGGCTTTCATGACTAAACCGGGACTTGAACTCCCACTTGTTAGCCTTAACCTCTTAACCACTAGACCAAACATTTAGCCAATCCCTTCAGCATTATAGGATATAATTCATCTGACTGTGAGGATTGAAATTTATTCAGATAGATAGGAAATCCCTCACCATGTTTCTATAAATTCCAAACTTCATCCTTATCTGGTGGACCACATAATTTATGCCATTCTAACTCACCTGCATTCATGTGAAATGTACTAACAATTGCAATGATGAGGACAGAAGGCTTTCGATTCTATCAAAGGATTAATAGTTTCTGAACAATTATTTACATTTAGATATTTAATCATCTATCATTTTCTAAGTGTCTTTATTCTCACAATAACAATTCCATCCCAAAATATAGTAATAAACTCATTATTTTAATCTCTTCAGAGGAGTACTGTCTAGGGATTTTTACTTGCAAAACCTTCCATAACTCATTTTAAATCAAATTTTCATTAGAAGATTCTTTGAAAAATGAATGACAGATAGATAAACAGGCAGAGAAACAGACAAATACACACAAATAAATGTAGAACAGTTCATGAAAGTCTGTCTGCATTCTGTTTATTAATATTTTAGCTATCTAGATTGCTGCTCAGCATATGAATATGATAAAGTAGAGTAACAGAGTTCTCTTAAAATAACCAAAATGCATCTGAGCAAACAAAAAATAAATCACAAGTTCCATTTGCCTACATTCGTAAAAAATAAATCATTTAATTTGGTTGAAGCCAAGAAAGAGAAGTTATCTCAATGACAGACAAAACTGAAATTGCATTCAGTAACAAACAATGATCTGATGTTATTTGTTTTTTTAAATATTAGACACCACAGAGTATTGTTCACTCCTTATTATTAGGCTGTCAGTGATCCAAAATGTTGATCAACTACTAGTTGAAAACCTGGTTCCTATATGGCATAAAATCTTTTGTACATGTTTCAAACCATGGGTAACAATCTCAATATCACCTCAACTTTGCAGGAACATGACTTGTATTCTTGCTAAAGCGGCATATTTACACAAAATGTTACCTAACTCAGGTCTAGTCACTTATGCACTTTCTCTAAATCCACTAATATACATTAATTTTCTTTCTTATATTCATACACTTTTCAAAGACATCTAAGGAGCAAAAATAGAGCATTTCCTGAAAATCCCTTGCTTGTGATAAATATCCACTGCACTAGAGGTTTTTTTGTACTCTCCCATTCAAAATTCAACAAAGCACCTTCCAAGACATAATTATCAAACAAATCCCTGCAGTTTTCACATTGATTCTTTTACCTTTCACTTTTAGTTATCGGGCACAGATGTGGACTTCAAACAGTTCACATAGTTAGAGTTATTATTTAAGCAAATTGCATCCACATTTTAATGATTCTTCAGTTGTTCAGTCTTAACTGTCTTAAATGTGCAGCCTTAGAATATTTCAAAATTTTATAGGATTTGAAACATCCTTTCATCATTTTTCTTGGACACTAATATTTACAGCATTTGTTTCAATTCTATTCTTTGACATATTACTATCATTTCCATAAAAAGTAGCCCTTTGAATGGAATTTCCTTCACCTGAATTTCATCCCAAATATTTAATTACTTTTTTAAATGTTCCATTCACTTGTGGGAGTGTCCTCATTTATGTCTTCATCCACTTCAAAACAACTTTTTATTTCCATTACCAGTTTGCATTTTCTATATTTCTCTTAATTTTAGCAGTTCCTTCTTTTCTTTGATTGTCTTCTTTGAAATATATCTTTTTCTCTATATATACATTATTCAGTACCTTTTGCCCACTCTCATTTTGGCACTAGACATTATCTCCTATGATTTTTTTTTCTTTCTCATCTATCCTCTTTCACTTCATCATTCCAATAAGCATCCTTTTTCCTACTAAGCATTAGCATGACTGCAGACATTTCTGTAGTACTCTGCAACAAATCTTTACCCTTGTCACAAGCATCTTCCACATCGTGTTAACTGACAACTATTTTCCATTCATTCCATTGGTAGATTACTTTTGTCTTGTGATATTTTTAAAGGGGTTAAAATTTGGCTCTGAAGCATTGAATGAATGGCATAAAAGACCATGAGAGCACCTTCCCACCATCATTAAATCACCATCTTAGGATATATTTTTTCTTTTTTCCCTTTTGATGTTTAATTGTTATTATTCTAGAATTTAAAAGTTTTAATTCTAATTTAATTTTAATGTTAATTTTAATAGATTGCTTTATTTATTGGTTATATTATATTGTTTATCACCCAGATTCCCTCTTTGAGAGAGATTGGCAGTTTAGAAAATGAAACATAGATGATAGATAGATAGATAGATAGATAGATAGATAGATAGATAGATAGATAGATAGATAGATAGATAGATAGATAGATAGATAGATAGATTATATTTTCTTTTTCTAGATCCTTCCTATTCTCACTTTAGTTTTTTTTTACCTTCTTCCTGTTCTTCCATATCCATTTTTTAAAAAGCTAATTTTTATACTATCAAAACAGATCACATGTTCAGAATCTCTCATGTTCTTGTGTTCTTCACTGATTCTCACAGTATTTAATCATAAACAATCACATC